TATTTCTAATAATCATCCAACTTTCTCCATCCTAGTTTATTATAATTTTGATCACATTGATCAGACAATCTGAGTTGCTGATGAAATGACCAATGTTTATTATCATTCTTGTGACCAAATAACATTTGTTAATAATTATTCAACGATTTATCACTCTGATATAATCCATGTGTTTTTTATTTCCATCGATTTACTCCTCGAAATTATTATTGTTATATTATTTTTAATGAAATCATTCTTCTTCTAATTGAAATAAACTTATGGTCAATAATATCTTAACCATTCATTCCTTCTATAATGATCATTTTTTACTATATTACAACGTTTTAAACCATTGATAGGGAGAATAGTACATAGCTTTATTTGTATTTCACCTGGAAGCGTAAAACCGTTTGAAACCGATCATGTAAACATGGTTTTAAAAAAATTTCATTAAGTTCACAAAACAAATTAAAAATTCTGACTTGTGAAATTTTATCATAATTAATTGAAAATGTTGGACAATAATAAAGTTGTCATATGATAATAAACGAAGTAAAGCACCGATTATAATTTTAGACCTGTCATTTTTGAGACAAAAATAAGTATGAGAATTGATGTCACTGAGAGCGACTGTTTCGATATCTCCGGTAAATTCCATTGCCTGTTGCTTTTATCTTCCTACATCGCCCTCATCTCCTTGCTATATAGCGATTAATATTGGCGGTTAATATGTCAATACAACGTTTCCGAGTTAATGCGGAAGCAAATTGATTGCAATCAATTTGCTTATTTGCTTATTAAAATATAATTGTAATACCAATTTCCGCTCGCGGAATTATAATAGCAATGTCAATCCTTTGATCGATTTACAATATACTTAATAAATTCAACTTTTTATTCTTATTATAAAGAATCTCCTACCTTTTCTAATGGTTAGTTTGTCTTTTTCCTTTCTAACAATATTAAATGATTCCAAGTCTGACCATACCATTCTATCAGCGCTGCTGACAAAATGATCAGTAGTGAGTATTATATTTGGGATTAAGTAACATCAATTGACAATTAATTATTCAATTTTCCAATTCAGTATAACCAATACGATATTACTATTTGTCGTAATTCTAAAAAAGTCGTCTCATCCTGTCTTAATGCAACATCTTATTAGTCTATTCAATTTTAACACTCTTGGGCTACGTTATTTTTAATCAACTTTACAGTTTTAAAGTTATAATAACAAAGGTTTTTGCAAACTGCCTCCGAAGTTGGATTGATTGTGGTCGATTTTTATATCTTCCGGAAAGGAGAAACATATAACTTGATATAAATGAAGTATGAACCGGAAACGTAAAATCATTTTCGATACTGTAAGTGTTGAACGCTAAAGGGCATATTCGTAATGTTCAAAAAATTTCGCTAAGTTCGACAAAAAAAAGGTATCGTGAAAAAGGGGTGACTTGTTTTATTGCCTGTCATGTTAGCCCTTTTGCTCCTTTTGGTCCCTCTATTCCTTTCCATCCTCATTCACGCTGCATTCCCATCAATCCTCTCGGCCCAGGTCTACCTTTCGGTCCTTTCCTCGCGTACCAATTGGTCCTCCCCTCCTCGAAGTCCTGGAGCTGGCAGTCCGTCTATTCCTTTATTTTCATTCTTTACCTCTCGGTCCTGTGATGAACAAGCCTGAAAATTATGAGCAAAACGTAATTGATAGGGTTATAATTTAAAAAATTAGTTGAAGAGCTAAAATGTGTCAGAAATGTGAGAAAATTTTCTAGGACCTAATAAATAAGAAATTTTTTATTTATATCAGAAAATCCAGAGGGTGGATGGAAGATTTTTTTTAAGGAATTGCATACTATAAATAAGGAAAAGTTTTCATCTGTGAAAGGTTTTTATTTTGAAGCGATCTCCCAAAGAGACTAAATACTTCTTTTGATATTTTTTTCTGCCGTTCCTGACAAAATTTAAACAAATTAAAAGTTTTAAAGGAAATCTGAAAATTTTAGCCACAGTGCACAAAACTAATTTCGGATTGTCAATGTATATTTTCCGTACATTCTAATTAGTCATCTGTGCTGTTTTCATAGCCAAAGTAAGTTCCCCAATAAATCATTTTTAAGGCGAAAATTATCTTTCACTATAACCTTCAAAACACCAAATACTATAAATTTCATTTTTAGGCATGCAGTCCATAAATGAGAGGTATAATAAGATCCGTAGGGCTACCGGAAATAAATTGACGCGATGGAAATAAAGGAAACCCAGGACCTAAGGGTCGAACAGATCCGAAAGGAATGAGTGAGATGCAAGGACCGCAGGATTGAAAGGTCGGAGAGGGCTACAAGGGGAGAAAGGAGGTGTAGGAATGATGAATGGAAGACGATAAAAGCAACAGGTATATGGCGCAAAGTTTCATAAAATTTTCAACCTTCAATATCATTACCGTCATCATCGTCATTATAAATAAAAAACTTTTCAAAATTTAATCGATTTTGAAATTAAACGAAAAAAGAAATGAAATATTCTTTCTTTTTCACTGTGCAGAAATTGCACATTTGCTTGAAATTTCCGCCTTTCCTAAATGATCAAAAGACTCATTCACACATAAGGAAGATTGATATTCACAACAGTTCAACTAATTTTAGGTACAAAAATTATTGAACTGAAAAAAGAATGGAAGAGTAAGGTAAAATGAGAGAGCCAGTTTGAAGTGATAGGAAAATTTCGAATGTTAATATGTCAATACAAATTTCCTTCACATTTAGCCAATAATGCAGTTGATTCGTTTGTTTGTTAATTAAAATATAATTATAACAATTTCTGCACGGCGGAATGATAATTAAAATTTCACCCCTCTGATCAAGTTATGATGCATTCATTATAAATAATCTTTTATCATTTCTATTAGTCAACCATCTTTTTCGTTTCTGATTCGGAACCTCCAATTATTCCAATTGTGATTTCATTGATGAGCCTCCCAAAGTTGGCGATGAAATGACCGTTGCGTTATCATTCGTGTGACCAAATAACATCTGTATCAGCTGACAATTATTCAATTTTCGGTTTACGCAGTCTTCAAGTTGTTAAAATTTTGAAGAATTCATTTTTTCCTGTCATTTAATTTTCTTACTTCATTTTCATGCATTCTCTCTTTATTTCAATTAATTCACTTAACACTTCCCTCATTCGTTTGGTATTCGTCTCTTATTTACATGCAATGACTTCAGTTTATCCTCGGCAGGCTGTTTCACTCAAAATGAGCCTATGATCAATATTACTGACCGTCATCCATTCCTCCTCAATGATCCACCATCTTTAGTCGTTTAAAAATAAATATTCCTGACAATGCAATATCTCATTCGGTTATATAATTCTATCATTGTCACGATTCGAACCGTTTTATACATTCACTTATGGTTCCTCACGTAAAAATTGGGAGCGATATTGTTTAAGAAAGTTTCGAACATTAAAATACGTGTTTTTCATTAAGTTTAGAAAACGAATTGGAAGTTTGATTCAAGAAATTTTATCAAAAATATTTGGAAATGATAAATTGCGAATTGAAAACATATTTTTGTTCCTTAAAATTTCTGGATTTTATATTCCAGCATTTATACCATGTTCCTTCAAGGCACCGACAACAATTTCAGGCCTACGAATTTAGTGAAATAATAGGAGGAACACATCAACAATAGATTTGTACAAACAAAGACAACCAAAATAAAGGAACTGATTTTACTGATTGAAAAGCCTCTACTTCGTTATTTACGCCAAATTTCATATTCCTTTCCTACCTACCACCACCACCCACTGGTCCTTGTATTCCTTGCAGTCCTTCGTCACCTTGTGGTCCTTGTTCTCCCGGTGGACCTTGGATTCCCTTTAATCCTTGCTCTCCTTGATCTCCAGGTGATCCCTGCACTCCTCGAGGTCCCACCATACCCTGAGGTCCTGGTGCTCCCTCTTCTCCATCAAGTCCATCCGGTCCTGGAAGTCCTGGCTCCAGGTTTTCCGTCTGCGTTGGAAAGCATGCCTGAAAAATTTCACACATATTTAGTATCCTAACAGGGGTTACATTGGAACATAATTTTTACCTTAGGGACAATTCATTGGGGGACTTACTCGCGCCATGAAGACAGCGCAATTGACCAATAGGAAAATACCGAAAAGGTGCATTGGTCTGAAAAGGTACAAAAATTGATTGTATTGATAGATAGTTAAAATTTCCCAAATTTTCTTAAAAATTTTAATCTTTTGAAGCTGTGCAAAAAAGAAAGAACATCATAAAAGGTATTCAGATTCCTTTAGATTTTATAGCACACAATTCTTTAGAGCAAATGATAACTGATAAACGAGAGTTTGAATTTTCATTACTTGTAGAACTCAAAAAGTTATAATATTTTTGAAATATATGGAATAAGCCGTAAAATAAAATCCATCTGATATAGAGGAGGATATGTGAGAGAGAGTTTCAAGATTTAAACTAAAATTTAATGAAGCGAATTTTGGAGAGACTTTCTATTTAAATTGGGAAATTGGATGTCTGATATGAATCATTCCAAAAATCATAAAACAAAGAAATATTTCAACAATTCTCTGTGGAATAATCATATCGAGTACAACAAATACAACAAAATGCAACCTTAAATGGTTATTGACGGTATCTATAGGAGCTAAGCGGATCTTTTTATGCGATGATTTAAAGTAAATAGAAAGAAGATTCGTTTGATTGATAGAAGATTAACGGTTGATACAGAATTTATGAGGATGAATGGAAGAACAAGTTTTGAGCTTTCTAGAAGCAGAAGTTGGGCGTTTAACTGATGTCGATTATTTGGAGTGAAGATAATAACAGTGGTAAACCCTTCGTCATCCGGAGATCAATCTGGTCGTGATTGTGATTACCTGAACATCAAAACTTTCAGATGTTTTTAAAAATATAAATTTTTAGCTATTTCGTACAACGGGTTCTACATGAAATATTATATATTATTTATATAAGAAATATTACATATGTTTCTGAAATATTTCTTCACTATGATTGCCTTCTGCAACTCAATGTTTCTCATATCTAAAAAATTTAACTTGTATTTCAATTGAGTTTAGACTTGCAATCACTTTTTCAACTCATTGCTTCTCCTATCTAAAAAATTGAACTTATCTATTTTTTAAAGACAGGATGAGACGACTTTTTTAGAATTACGACAAATAGTAATATCGTATTGGTTATACTGAATTGGAAAATTTATAGTTGAGGGACAAATGGACTGGTGAAGTTTTACTTCAGGTGTTTCTGAAATTCTAAATTTTTACTGATTTCGTATAACGGATTCTACACATTTTTCTTCAATACGTGGCCTTCTGCAACTCATTGCTTCTCCTATCCAAAAAATTTAACTTATATTTCAATTGCAGTTACTTAGAGGAAAAACGATTGAAGTTGAACATTTCAAGGGATTCAAAAGTTTCTGAAGAATGACTAATTTATGAATCAACCGCTTTTGTTTCTCGAAGGCTCAAAACTCATTTTTCCTTCCACTTCCCGGATTCTCTGTCAACTGTAGGTCTCCTATCAGTCAACCGAATCTTCCTCCCATTCACGGAAAAATCCGTTTAGCATTATAGATACCGTCATTAACAACTTAATGTTGCATTTTGTTGCATTCCACACGCCATTCAACAAAGATTTCTTGAAATCTTTGCTTCTTTGTTTTATAGATTCCAAAAAGATTCATATCAGACATCCAACTTTTTAATATAAATAAAATATTTCTCTTCGAAATTCTCTTCATCAAATTTTGTTTAAGTTTTAAAACCGCTTACCGATTCTCGACAGGAATTTCTTAAATTACGACTAGTAAATTACGATTTTTCTTAAGAAAGGAAATATTAACAAGTAAAAATGTGAACAGACTTTTCCTTCGCCGAACATTTTAAAAATAAAAATGAAAAAGAAATTTGAGAATTTGAAAAAAGAGTTGCGTTTTTTTAGATTCTCAGTACCAATGCATCTTTTCGGGACTTTCCTGCTGGTCATCTGCGCTGTTTTCATGATCCAAGTAAGTTCCGTACTTGATTGTTTTTAAATGAAGTCTTCAAGTGTTTGTAAATTTTATTTTCAGGCTTGTGGTCCATTAACAGCACGTACAGGACCTCCAGGTCCTCCAGGCCCTCCAGGGCGAGATGGACGAAAGGGAAACCCTGGTGATCGAGGACAACGGGGGCAAGAAGGAGAGGTAGGAGAAAGTGGACCAGTAGGAAAGCGTGGGATTCAAGGTCCTCCAGGTCCGCCAGGAGATGTAGGAGAGAAAGGGGAAAAAGGAAGAGTTGGATTGCAAGGTTTGAGAGGACAAGGAGGAGGATAGAAGTGGAGGCGAAGAAATATAAGGAAATATCGAAACAGTCCCTATCAATGTATCGGTTTCCTTGTTTTATTTGTTTGTGTGCATCAACCTATCACATTTCATAGGTCTGAATTTATTGTCAGTGTCTCTGCAAAACTTGCTTTGGATTATAAAAATTGAATTCTCATGAAGCAAGGTTTTCTGTGTTTTCGGACCACAATGTCATTATCAAATTTGAATAGTAAAAAACTTTTCGAAATTTGACTGGTTTCAAAATAAAATATTTTACTTTCGCTATGTACAGAAATATTATAATCAGGCAGAAATTGCATAGTATTAATGGCTAATATGTCAATGCTACTTTTCCGTTAATTAATACGAAAGCAAATTATAATGTAAATCAATTCGTTTGTTTGTTCATTAAAATATAAATATAATACCAATTTCCGCATGGCGGAATTATAATGACAATATCAATTCCTTGATCGATTTATGATATACTCAATAAATTTAACTTTTTATTCTTGTTATAAAGAATCGCCTATCTTTTCTAACGATTAGCTATCTTTCTTCTTTCTATTCTATAATCTTCAATTATTCCAATTCTAATCGCATTAGTCATTCTATCAGCGCTGCTGACAAGATGATCAGTATTAATTTGAGATTAAATGACATCTGCCACCATTTGATAATCATCAATTTTTTTAAATTGTGTTATCGATATATTCTTCAAATTTATCGTAGTTTTGAAAAATCATTTCATTCGATCATTCAGTCCTTCGACTTCATTTTCACATATTCCCTTTTCATTTCAATTCACTTAATTGGCCTAACATCCGTCTTTCTTTCTCAAAGCATTGTTTTATTTGAAGTAAACTCCAAGGCCAATGTTACTGACCATTATTTATTCCTCTTGTAGTGTCCCTCCTTTTGTTAATCACATTATTTCAAATCAATTTATGCGAATTGCACACGATCTGTAATCGATTCTAAACCACTTCGGGCATTTTGAAAATACTTTTCAATTGCTCCGGATTGTTTCGTACATTTGCCGGTTTTTCTCTTCCATTAAAAAGGAAAAAAACAAAACTCTTAAATCGAATTCTTTGGGAGTTTAAGCGTTGCATAAAAAACATGCATTTGAAATTTCATTGAGTTCGACAAGTTGGTACAAAACAAAAACAACGCAAGTAAGAGAACTGATGGGATCACTGGGAACAGTGGTTCGTTATTACCGGTCAGTTCCGTTACCCCGCGGCGTCTTGTCCTCTAATACCGCGAAGTCCTTGATCACCTTGATCTCTGTCTCCTTGATGTCCCACTGTCCTTGCTCTTCTGGAAAACCCCTAGTCCAGGTTCTCCAGGTAAGCCCGGTTCTTCTGATGGTCCTCCAGCTCCATGCAATCCTCGTTTCCCTCATCTTCCTTATGGCTCACTTCGCCCTGTGGTCCTGGTGATGGTAATGGTCCGCATGCCTGAAAATTAAATTTATACACTTCTGCTATTTCGCAAATCGTTTCAAACATAAATTTCTTAGTAAGAAACAATATACTACCGTAGTTGCTTGAGTTGCGAAAATAAAGCTAATCGATAAGAAGGCACCAAAAAGATGAAACAATACTGACAATCTGAAAATTTTCAAATATTTGCCAATAGAAATATTACACGGATGGAATGATTTCCTTATTTCTGCTCCTTAATTCGTTATGGCAAATGATAATCAATTGATTAGAATACAGAAATGTTAACCGAAAAATTATGATATCCTTGGCTATATGAGAAAAGAATTTAAGATTTAAATTGGAGATCAGTAAAGCGCATTTCAAACCAAAATATCTTATTTATATTGGAAAGTCGAATTTTGATATGGATCTTTCCGAAATTCATAAAACAAAGAAACATTTTCGGAATTTTTTGTTGATTTTACGATTTTATGAATTTTTTGTTTACATACCTATCCTTATGTCCTGCATTCTACAAAATGTATGTTGTAAATCACTCATAATTTTCTCTTCGACTCTCTATTAGGCGTTAATCTTCTATCAATCGACCGAATCTTCTTTCCGTTAGCAAATATGACAAGGAAAAAACCACCACATAAAAGTTGCATTTAGAATTCGTAGAATCCGTTAATAAAAAAAAAGAAAATCATCGCATAAGAAGATCGTTTAGTATTCATAAATACCGTCAATAATAATTTGATGTTTTGTTGCATTCTGTACAACCATTCCACAATGAATTCTTGAAATATTTCTTTGTTTAGCAAATTCCGGAAAGATTCCTATCACTCATTTAACTTATCAATATAAACAGAATATCTCTCCTTGAAATTTGCTTCACCAAATTTCATTTAAGTCCTAAAGTCTTCTGTAACATTTTTGATAGTATTATAAATTTTTAGGAATTCTTTAAATTACGATCTATCAATTATAGCCTATCCTATGAATATAAGAAATATAAATATGGAGAAGATTCCATTCGCATAAAATTTCCAACAGCGAGTGTGGTTTTTTGAAAAAGTTTTTAAACCAAACAAAACACTTTCACCAGTTTTTTTAATCCGTCTGTTGCAACATTTGAAAGAATTAAAAATTTTAAGGATTAAAATAAGATTTAAAGATTTTCAGCTACTCCACACACAGCCAATTTCAGATTATCGGTATAATGTATCTTTTCGGTGCTTTCTTATCGGTCATCTGCGCACTATTTGTAGTCCAAGTAAATTCTTAAATCAATTATTTCTAAAGGAAAACTTATATTTCAATGCAATCTACAAATACCAAACATATACAAATTTTATTTTCAGGCTTGTAGCCC